TTCAAAGAACACAGATCATTCATAGTCTTTGGCAGATAACTCATTTGCTTTATTTCATGGTTTTTATATGCACTTGAAAGTCGGCAATGCTCTTTTTTTTAAGCTCTTGTGCATGTGAGCGAAGGGCAGGCCTGGTGCAGTGGTGAGAGCTGTTTCACTGAGTCACCAGGTCACGGGTTCGAAACAGTCTCTCCGCAGATTTTGTGGGGGGAAGGCTTGCCTCGGTTTTTCCCTTCCCCAGACCCCACTTATGTGGGAGCCTCCGGCACTGGGTCTACCCTTTTCTTGTGCATGTGAGTATCTAGTTGAACTTGGACTACACATGAGAAACACACCTTTGCCCATATTGTCCTTCCCATTTCTCCCATCCAGCATGGAATCTATCCATTGACCATGGAGTATTTCAACCTCCAAATACTGCTGGCACAAAAGAAGTATTTCATAGTGTGTGTTTTTAATAAACTGTCATGACTGTTTTCTTACCATGGCAAGTACATAAGCGGTAATACTGTCTTCATATTGTGTCCCAAAGCTCAGTATCTGCTGTGCAGAATCATGAGGCGGAGTGGATTGTCATGTAATAATACAAAGTCTGTAGGCCAAGGTTTCATGATATTTCATATGATTTTCAGTGTTTTCCCTTTTTTTTCAGGGGGGGTGTGGGTCCTTCATCCATCTCATGCCATATTGTCTCCACTGGTTTTTCTTGCAGCATACTTGAATTACAGCATATTTACAAATTGCTCATATTTTGAATCTGTCATTTATGGCTATCATTCAAAGTTTCAAACTGGGTTGCTACATACTCCCTCTTTGAAATTACAATGCTGTTTTTTTTTCTATAGAGCTTGTTAATTAATACACAATTTCTGTGAGAATTGATGTCATTAGATTTGTATTGAAAAATACTTATCATTATAATTTTGTACCACATAAATGAAATGCTTCATTTGTGGAGTAATCGTCGGTCAATGGCTTGTCCAAATGAAACTAAATATGCCTTGTAAAAAGAATGGTTGGAGTAATACACAACTACACAAGTTTGTGTGCGGATCCAACCTGTTTTCTATCGGTGGTCACTGTATTTCTTATGTAAATATTTTGCTTTGCATCAATATCATTCAAATTTGTTTTTGGTCCTCTTCTGAGAGCATATGTAAATAATCAATTTGTGACATTTGTATCTGATCTGTACTATCTGTTTCCTCTCTTACCCATGTTTTTGAGAAATGGGTACATCTATGATTCTTTCGTTACTGTTGATATGGCTAATCCTCGGTTTGTACCATGAAAATGGTACTACATTCACAAATGTCGGTTGTTATAATTTTGCGCTGAGCCAATTCTCATACTTTGACCAAGTCTTCTAATAGTTTTATTATGAAAAATGTATTTAAGTTTGATCAAGTTTATAGATATAAGTCAAACTTTATAAATAAACTTTATAAATAATAGTTTTATTATGAAAAATATATTTCATAAATAATCTAATGATATTGATTTGGTATTATAGACGTGATAATTGTATTATTTTTAGGATGAGGAGTACATTTTGTATCAAGAAAACTCAAGAACCAAGAAAAAATAATGTGGATGTCCGAAGGATGTAGACATTACTGAATGTAGAAACTCAACATGTTGCTTAGGCTATTATATTGGTCCCATTCGCTTCGCTGAAAAAACAAGCCGAAACACTGTTTCGGCTAATTTGTTGTGAGAGAAAAACACTGTTTCGACTGAAAAAACAAACTGAAAAAGACAAATTATAAGAGAAGCGAACAGGGCCATTGGGTCTGTTTGGAAGAGCTCCACTATTAGGAAAAAAAATCTAGATCCACTGTAGAGTAGCTCTAACATAGATCTTGGATTTATTAAAGTGTTTGGTACAGCTCCACCTTCATCTCTATCGCACTTGCACATGGCACCCACGTGTCAGCAGGCGTATTGCAAAAATAAAATAAAAAATAGGTTTTTCCCTCCCAACTCGACAAGCTCGTGTGTAGGATGGCCCGGGCTCGCGGCCACCGAAAGGCGTGGCCTAGCGGGCACACGGCCGGTCACCGGTGGACCAGGCTAGGAGAGGTGTGAATTGTCTACAAAAATTTATCTATAGAAGCACAAACACTGAGAACAAGGTGGTTAGTAAAAAAACGGTGGTTAGTAAAATAACAAGCCTTATCTTATCCAAGCAAGCACCTACATAATTCTAATAGCACTTGAATTCTACACTAAATCACAACACCACACTAGAGCTATCGGCTAACAAGGCTACTCTAGCTAGTTAAACTAGTGAGCAACTAAGCTAGCTACTCTATTACTAAAGCTATAACTAAGTAGAGAGCTACTCTAACAAATAACCACAAGTGTGGAGATTGATACCGAGTCAGGCAGTTGAGAGAGAGACACACAATCAATTTATCTCCAAAGTCCGGTTGCTTGCCGGTAAACCACGTCCTCGTTGTGGCAAGTCTCAATGTGATGATTCATGTGCTAAGTAATCACTCAAGTTAGACCCACAACTTAGGACCATAAGAATCAAACACAAGAAGCACTAACTAGCGACGAGCATTCGACTAGAGTTGCTCTTTGCGATCTCCCATGGGTATGAACACAAGAGCCCCTTACAATTTACTAGATCAGAGACAACAAACAATTACCACATGCCCCTCAACGATCCTCCAATCCATCCAGCCGTCTAGGTGACAGCAACCACTAAGTGTAACAAGAAGACCAAGGCTCAACCGATGAACTAGTGCTAGTAGACGCAAATCAATAAAACAAATGCACTAGATCTCTTCCAATCTCACTTTGGATCAAACACGAGCAAGGAGATGAGTGGGAGGTGTTTTTGGAGGCTCACGCAAGTGTTGGAATGCTTGGAATGCTAAGAGAGAGCCCAAAGGGCCGGCCAGCACATTTATATAGAGGCCCAACAAAAGTAGTCGTTGAAAAGGCTCTTGGCGGGCTGTTTGCGGAGGCACCAGATAAGTTCGGTGCCCACCAGACAAAGCCACACCAGAGCAAGCATTACTCAAATGGACGACTGAGATTTCATCACAGATTTAAACACCTATAGCACATGTTCTGGTGCGATATTAAGGGCCTGTTTGGTTTCCTTCTCAGAGAGCCTGCATCGTACCTACCAGCCATACCTTCTCTAGCCAGGCTATGCGAAGTCATTATTATTTGGTTGCTCTGATTTACAGCGCTAGGATGAATAGAGGAGTTAGACTTAGATTTGTGCTCACCTGCATCACCGCTCTCTCGCGCGTACGTGCACGAACCAGACTGAATCTGTTTCCCGTGCATGTGCATCCGGCCTGGTCCTATCTAGGAGAAGTTCAGGCAACCAAATGCAAAAAGTCTGCATCCCACGAGCCAGTCCAGGGCATATGAGACCAACCAAATAGGCCCTAAGTGTACCACTGGATATATCCGGTGGCCGCGCGCTTAGACCCGAAGTCAAACTATCCATTGAGCCTCCAACGACTAGTGTAGCGCATGTTCTAGTGTGATAAACAATTGGTCACACCGGAACAATACGGTGTTAACTAAAGAGGTCCAAAACCTGTTTTCCACCACCGGAAAAATCTCGTGCCTAGCATCGGGACTTCCGATGAGTCCCTTTGAAACAAACCCCTCTCAATGAACAATGCGATCTATTACTCCGGTGCATCCAGTGAGCAGGCACCGGATAAATCTAGGACCTAACCCTAGGTAATGTGCAACTCAACACTGTAGTGCTTCTTCCGGTCAGCATGTTCGCTTGTTGGTTTCAGCCAGCCCAAACCAGCTAGCCAACAGTGTTTTCCTCTCACAAAAAACCAGCACCAGCCCCAACCAGCGAACATGCCCGGTGACTGCCTAACCTAGGCACCGGATAAATCATGTGGTGCTAAAAAATCATCATCAAGTCACAAATTTCACAAGCGTCTTAAATTTGCTAACTCCAATATGTTCCGGCATGAATATCATCACCTTTGGCATCGAGTTTACTTTTCAAAAACATTTTTCACTTGTATTTCACTGCGTCACTGGGTTTAATGCATATGTGACGTTAGTTCACCCTTAGTGGCACTTAGATAACCGTTAAGCATTAGAGTTTACCTCTTAATAGTACGACTATCAAATCTAAACCTGACTACACACTCTATTACGTCTCAGTCAACGAAAACAAAACTCCTAACAAATACCTTCGCCTCCAGCTTCTTTTCACCTTCTCATCTTCTCCAAGTGCGAGCTTGTTCCATTTAGATCAGTCACCCTTCAACCAACCCCTAGCCATGCTTGTCATCTTGGAGTGCACTTCACCTAGTTTAATCAATAATTAGCAAAATGTTAGTCCATTAGTTGTCTCAATTTCTAAAACCAAACATAGGGATTTCAACGGGACGATGCTGCAGGGGCAAGGAGGTGGGCATTAGTGCGGGGAGCCTGCAGAGAGGCAGGTAGTGGTGCCAGAAAGCGGGTCACTACGCTGGGTGATTGTGTGGGGAGGTGGGTGGTGGGGCAAGGAGGGATCTGAGCACGTGGGGTGAGAGAGAGAAAGTTACCGGTGATCTGGTGCATTATCTTCGTCAATAATCTAAAAATTTCTCACAACTCTACCTTTTTCTGTGAAGTTGAGTTATGTGAAGCTGAACCTGTTTAGCTGAAAAACATGGAGCGGAGCAATCCCAAACACGTCCTAAACTAACAGCTTGGATCAAATATTGGGATATGTCAAAAAAAAGATGCCCTTGTAATTAGGATACTTTGGTCCACCGTTCAAGCAAACCTTATTGTTCTTGTTTATACAACACTCAGCCACATTCACAAGGAAACAGTCAGGCTGACAACAGATCAATTTTGAATGGCGTGACTTCTTGATCACGCACAATCACCTAAATGTTTTCCACTATTCCTAAATAGCTGCCAAAGAAAACTAGGAGAAACAGAAGTCTAAAAGGAAAGAAACCCTGTAACTTCTAAGAGAAGAACATCAGGGCTCAGTGTCATTTCTACCATTCCATGGAGTTGGTTCTTCTAAGATCTTGTGATGATTTTTTCCTGGTGACTGGAACTACCCTTTCAATTAGCTGCACAAACAGGTTAACTTCTTTAATGAATGACAAAAGAACAGCATCTGTTGCATGTTTGAATTTGCAGAGTACTCAACTAACCATAGCAATAGATTTGAGAAAATCATGATAGTATAGACATGGAGAAAATCACCATGTCTGATCAGTGTTGAACCTTTAATTGCTATGCTGGAATAATTGGAAACTATTTTTCATTATGTATATGAACTGTTGTAGAAAAAACACCCTCCTCCTGATCGATAGTGACAGGGTAAGACCATAAGATGATAACATATACTATTATTATGATTCTTTAGATTGACAAGCAGTATAATGCTGTGAGATAATTATCAGTAACAGATTAAGCCAGTGGCAGAACTTATTAATATAGCATCAGATGAAAACATATAACTAGTAGGCATACACTCTTCAGAATTCAGATTACAATCAAAGATGGAAAAGAAAGTTTCTTTCCAGGCATTGCAAGCAAATGAGCTAATTAAATTTCTCCCAAAAAGGAAGATTTTGCCCCCCAAAAAAGGAATTTTGAGATTACAAAAATGGCAAAATTTGCTACAGTACATGAAAATTGAAAAGTGATGCCGAAAATTTGTTTCTCACTGAATCCTCCAGAAGCATAATACAAGTTCAAGTTCAAAAACACATGTTAATTTGACTGCCAAAAGCATATCAAAGCAATTACCTAGGCTAAACATGATTTCAAGCAATTATATTGATAACAAAGCTTACCTCCTTAAGTCTCTTTTGGCGTCGGTCCTCCTGGAAAATAATAATGGTACAATAAGATCAATTAAAGGGTAGACTTTATAACCAAAAGTGTGAGGCATGAACATATAGATAACCAGTGTTTCACATGTCTCTAAATATATTTCCCCCTATTTTGTATTCTTGTTAATCTAATTCATTTGACAACAGACTTCAGAACAAAACCTCTATACGTTCCATACAAGTAACAAAAAAACCTAGACTAGGGCAAATGATTTAATGAACAAGGATATCTGATTCCATGACAATTCTAAAGGAGATAAATTTTCAGACAGAATGAAATGCACTATGGGTCCACAAACTTTTTTTTTTCATATTCTCATTTAGGTACATAAAGCCTCAAAGTGATCATCTAGATCCTTCAAGTTTTCAAGTGGCTTGTACAAAGTGTGAATTCAGGTCCATGATTGAACCTAGAGTGAACTTAGAATGAACTACTTTAGAAGCTAAAAGGATCGAGATGATCTCACTTTGAGAGTTCATAGACCGAGATGAGAATGCAGAAAAAATTTAAGGACCCGCTGTGCATTTCACTCTCAGATATGTCGCCCAGCAAATGTATGACAGTTAGACTCAGTTCTTTCCAATGATAAAGTGTCCATATTTTTTTCATTCTGAATAAAGCCTCTGGATGCAATGGTAAACGGTTCACTGCTGTTAATATACATCACACTTTCAAATAAAAAAAAAGTGTGTGTGTAATGCAAGGCATGCCTTGGGCTATTTAAGTAATAAGGGGTGTTTGGTTTCCCTTGCTAAACTTTTGTCAGCTAAATCTAGTCCTATTTAGCCACTTTTCACCCAAACACTCTGGCTAAATGGCCTTTAGCCAACTAGTCACCAGGATGTTGCTAAATGGGACTAAACCTCACATTTTAGTCCCATTTAGTCACTTTAGAGCCAAACACACTTACTAAAAAGGACTAAAAGGTCTCTTTTAGTCGTCCAAACAAAACATCCAGCGACTAAAATTTAGTCCATGGTTTAGCTACTAAAGTTTAGCAAGGAGAAACCAAACAGGCCCTAAATCTGGTTCCCATTCCCTTTGAGGTGCTCATGTCATTTGACTCATTTCCTCCCAACCCCAACTATCACAGCTGCGCATTGAGCTCTTACGATTCGTGGAATCACCAGCTGGGCAGTTACACAGTGCTTGTACTATGAAATGTTCTGGAATAAAGCAACGGGAACAAGATGTGGCTCGGGGGTCGGGGCATGCTTGAAAGGTCCACCCAACACGTCACAAGACCATTTCCTGAGTGCAGAACCAAAAGAATAATACCTGCTCCCTTAACAGTTCTGCTTGCTCCTCCTCGAGCTGCATAACCTGCGATTCCAGCTCCGCGACATACGCCTACATATGGGACCAACCGAAAGCATCAAAATCAGCAGCTGTAGTAACCAAAACCAAGTCTGCACAGGGAACAGCTCAAAATTACGCAAGAATGAATCAAGTTCTGCGAACCACCGAGACATTTCAACTTTTAACCCCCTTATACCTGTTTCCTGTCCCTGGACCTCGCCGCGGACTCGCGGTTCTTGATCATGCGCTTCTGCCGCTGCATCACGGCGCGGTCCGCGGGATCCAGAAGCGCCCGCTTCCTGCTTCCCCTCCCGCCGCCTACTCCTACTGCCCCCGCCGCATCTCCGTCACCGTCAGGGAACCCCAGCGCCATGTTCCCCTCCATGACCGCCGCCCTGGCGCAGGAATCCCTGGCGAGGAAATCCTCCAGCGTCATCTCCGCGGCGCCGCTGCCGCCTCCTCTGACACCGGTGCCGGAGCAGGCGGCGGGAGGCGGAGGGAGGAGGACAGGCGCGAGAGCCCTCCGGCTGCGGAGATCTCCTTCCACACCTCCTCCGACGTCCGCCGGGCCGCAGCAGCCTCCGGGGCCGCCGCCGCCGGGAGGGGGCTCCGCCGGGCCGCCGGCGGCGTTGACGGCCTCGGGGCCGTAGATGTTGCGGATGATGTCGTCCATGTTCATGGATCCGATGCCGCTGCTGCTCCTGAATCGCGCGAGGTCCGAGGCGTGCTGCGGCGGGGACGACGACGCCATCACCCGCGACGACGCCATGCGCCGGGGCGCGCGGCCGGCCCACACGGCCCAACGGGGGGGTGGAGGGGGGAGGGGAAAAAAACTCACAGACAATCCGCCGGCAAGGAGGTCGGGTGAGGGTCGGGGTCGGCTCTCGCTTTCCGCTCCCTCTTCAGCGTATTGCGTGCTGCGCTGTTTTATCGTCTTGCGTGGTGTTCCGTTGCCTCTTTCTTGTCCCGGGAGGACCGGAGGAGGGAGGGGCGGGCAGCCGGGGAAAACTGTGACGAGAGAGCGGTCTGCGTCCGCCTCGGCGGCTGGAGGGGCGAGACGAGGGGAACCGAGCGAGAGAGAGATGCGACTGCGACTGAGTCTGCCGAGAGCCTGGAATGGAAAGATTTCCGGGCGGATCGGTGCATGCGCACCGCGGCCGCGGGGGGCTGTGCTTTGCTGCTTTCTGCGTGTCCTCTGTACTGGACGGCCGTCGAACTGTCCAGTGATGAACTGTGAACTGCCTCGTTCGTGGTATCTGATTACTGACACGCTCGGTGGTGAGTGGAATGATTCCTCGTGTCTCCTCCGCCGGTTGGTGTACTCCCTCCGTCCCGTTAAGATTGTCGCTCGGGAAGCGGGATTGTGAGGGGGGCACGGTTTTCCAACGACAAACTCAATGGGACGGAGGGAGTAGGTTCTCAGGCTGTGGTTCAGCTTGATCGCCGGCGCATCAGATGAGAGATTGCCGGGCACATCGTACAGTACAGGAAGGACAGCAGAGGGAAATGCCGAAGGTGACCAGATAGACAGGTTTGGTTCGTACAAGTGCGCAGGATTTCAGCTTTATTACAAAGTGACGAAGGGCGTGTTGGTTGCACGCCGTGACTTGCCACGTTAAAAGTTCAGCAGCTTTGGCAGCTGCTTAGTTGCCATGTAAATTTTGACCATTAGACCGTCTCCAACAACCCATGCATCACGGCATCCAAATCCAAAATGCCCACTTCTGGTTACTTTATCGGTGGAAAACGCTGTCCAACAGACGACGCAAATGAGGCACGCGATGCACGACCCAAATAAGCGTCGCCTCTCTCCTCGAACCCAAATCTCTACCGCCGCCGCCGTGGGGCCATCTGCGCGGACGTCGAGGTCGAATCCGCCGTGAAAGGGGCGCCGCCACGCCCAATCGACCGGGTCCGCCCACAGCTGACCGGAAGGGGAGAGGGAGCCACCACCGGTGGAGGAGGAGCAGCCACGACCGCGCGCCGCAGGTGGGGTAGGAGGATGCGCGCCCCGGTGGGAGAGACGCCGCCGCCAGCGTGGGAATAATCTGCCTGACGACGTCGGTCGGATCCGCCCGGGTAAAGCGCCCAGGTCCCCTGAGGTCTGACGAAGGAGGAGGGCGGCTACCGTGAGGCCAGAAACACCCTCTCGCCGCCGGATCTCGCGGCCACCGGCCACTGGGGAGCGGAGGCGGAGGCGTGCAAAAGCGGCGTGGGAGGGCGGAAAACAAGGCAGCGAGAGAGGCAAGCGTGGGGCGGGAGGTGGGGGGACAGGGCAGCAGCATGGTATGAGCGACCAATGAAGCAACTTCATGGAGTCCCGCCGGATCTCGGCGGCGAGTCGGCGGCGCGTGTAAGCGGCCAAGGAGGAAGCGCGTGGCGCGAGGACAGTGGTCAGAGAGGCAAGGTCTGAAAGCGGGCGGGCGTGGGCGCCGACGGGGTGGACATCGGGGACGGGAAAGGGGTGGGTTGGTGGGGGGAATGGCGGTACGCATGAAGTGCTGGGCAGGCAGGAGTGTAAAGAGATGAGGGGATGGAGATGGGTGGGCGGCAGAGAGACCGAGGAAGAGATGGGTGGGCGGCGGAGAGACCGAGGAAGAAGATGGTTGATTTGCGTTGGCTGTTGGAGAAGCTAAATTTTGGGTGCGGACCCTTTTTCTGTACATGACATAAACCAGAGAATGGGTGTTGTGTTTAGGTTCTCGTTGTTGGAGACATCTTTACTCCTTACAATTGTCATTTTGCTTCCTGACTTGTCATCTTGTGCATGCCGAAGGTGTGGCGTGTTATGGCCATTCTTCCCGCCACACAGCTGTGGCGCCACCAAATCTACGGCATGGTTAGCCGTGACGTGTAACCAAACACGCCTGAACAACACAAGAAGAGAGACAGATGTACGGTAGAACTTAGCTATTAATGAGAGCCTATGTTGATTTTAATTAAACTTGGTCGATTTTAATACGATTAAATTTAAATAAATACTAATGTTCATATTAAAGTTTTAGTTATGTGTGAAATTTTGACTTAACCTAAACATATAACTTTTATGTACACTGAGACTAACAGAAAAAGGTGTGCCACATACGAGCACTCAGGCTTGGCGTGAGTGTGACCGTGTACGGACCCAGCCCACTACGACATGGTGCGGGTGGGGCTGGCTTTGCAACTCGGGCAAATTGATGATGTCTATTACGGATTCATCGAAGGAGCCGTCACCAGAATGATTATTGCCCATTACTCAGAGTTATGCATGTGAGTACTCCACGTTTTTTTTAGACAACAAGCAACTTTATTATCAGCAGCAACGTGCTGAGACAATGGTTACGGCTCTGTTCGGCTGCTATATAAGCTAATACATTATTTTTCTCTTCCAACAAATCAGTCGTACAAATCAGTACAAACGGTTTATAGACCAACCGAACGGAGCCTACATTGTTCTACAGCTTGTAGAGCTTGTAAAAGAGAGCACTGGAGTACATGGTGCTCATAAGAGCAAGTAGGCTCTAAGCTTGAGTACTGAGAGGCTGAGACTGATAGAGCCTGACGAGCCAGTGCATCTGCAGTGGAGTTGAGTTGCCTTTTGATCTTGAAAATCTTGGATTCCCTGCTTCTTGCATAGTTGGAGAACATTTGAGTAAACGGTTTGATTCTCCAGTCCGGAGGATTGGATTGGTCAGCTGCATTGAGGAAGTGAACCAGCTGCTGACAGTCAGATAAGAAGTTTATGTTGCTGAGATTCAGGGTCTCGGCGACAGTAGCTGCAAAGGCTAGGCTGACAGCTTCGGCCATGAGGACCGAAGTACATTCAGCAAGCTTTGCATGTATGTAGATCGTCTGCGTTGGTTGGACCTGCACGTTAACAATGAGAATTCCCAGACCGGCCTGTCTGGGCGGCATCGTCGGGTGGTCCGGGAGCGTGGATGCATCGACATAGCATCTTGTGCCTGGTAATAGGGCCGGCGTGTTGATTGTGTACCTGTTCGTCATTGGCAACTGCAGTAGAGATGTGTTCATACCTGATGATTCGGTGTGCATTTGAGGTGGTTGTCGTGCCTGATTCATCGATGGCACTTCCGAGGTGAATTGTACTCCATAGTCGATAGGCAGATCTGTAGAGGTAGAGGGCGCACCTTGCTGATTGTGGTCCGCAAGATCAGTTAGCTGTAGCGGCTGTGTGGACTGGGTGGTTGCAGCTTCGTTTCCTGCTTGTTGTGCTTGTAGATGAGTGTTGATGTGAGCAGCAACAGCATTGTGTACCTGCATAGGAGTCCAGGTCTTTCTTTGGAAGCGGTTATCATTTCTAGCTTTCCAAATATACCACATTGTAGTAAGGATTTTTGGTAGTAAGGAGTCAGGAACGGAATTGGAAATAAAACTTTGCAGAATTAATTAGACTTCATCATTTTCTTGTGGGAGGTTATCGGTTCTCATGGGGGGATTGAAAGAAAACCAGACCGCCCGAGGGAGATTACAATGGAAGAAAAGATGGGCGTCATCTTCCACAGCACCGCAGGTGGAGCAGTGTTTGTCGATGTGAGTCGAATACCTGGCTGCACGGTCTGCAGTGGCAAGAGCTCGCCTTATAAGACGCCATGTGAAGGCCTTGATGAGAGGGGGTATCTCGTTGCTTTTCCACGCTCGCTGCAGAATTTGATTAGTTTGGGGTAGAATGCTTCTAGAGCCTTGCTGTGGGAGTTGGATCAGCCTCTGGGACGACAGGTGCCTGTAAATATTTTTTGTAGTGCATATACCATTCTTGGAAGGCAACCATCTAAGAATATCCTGCTGATCATTAGGAACAGGTTGTATATTGGTAATAGCTTGGATAGCCTGATTGTCAAAAGTATTAGACAAGAGTTGCATATTCCAAGATTGAGTATTAGAAATCCAGAGATCAGAAACCATGGAGGGCAAAGGCGTAGTGGTTACAGGAAGCAGTAGATGGTTGTGGATGGAATTCCACACTGGACACCAAGGAGCTGACCAAATGGATGTGTTACCTGCATGAATTTGGTATGCAGCGTTGTCGCAGAGGTCCCTTTTAACCTGCAAAATGGAAGACCAAAAAATGGACCTAGGTCCAGTAGTGTTAGCAGTCCAGAAAGAATTATTGTGAAAGTATTTGGCCTTGAGGACAGCTGTAAGAAAAGGATTTTTGTTATTAGCAATATCATAAGCAGCATGGGTAAGGAGACTTTTGTTAACAGTATATAAATCCCTGATGCCAAGAGGTAGGGTTGTCTTCCTGAGCACCGGCCCACCAAAACTTTCTGATGATGGCGTTGATCCTCTCCACAAAAGTCCTAGAGAAGAGGACTGTGGACATGTAGTAAACAGGGATGGAGGCAAGAACAGATCTGATGTAAGTGAGCCTGCCAGCGTGATTGAGTTTGTTGGCTTTGATAGTCGTCAACTTGGCTCTGAATTTGTTGATGATAAACTCATAAACTTTATTTCTGTCATTGTAGTTGAAAATAATAGGATGACCAAGGTGCAAGGTATTAGGAAGAAGATCAGGGACAGGGAAGATGTCTCTTATTTGAGCTTTGGTCATGGCATCAACACTCTTGCTGAAGAGAATAGAAGACTTGTGCAGGTTGGGGGTTTGGCCAGATAAGTTGCAGAAATCATGGAGAATGTGGCGAATGATAGAAGCCTCATGCATCGTAGCGGCGCCACAAAGAGAAGGAAGTGGATGGGGGGACAACCAAGCCCTAGAGTGATACCCGAGAGGTTGGAATTGTGGAGTTCATTATGAAGGCGGGTGGA